ATTGTAGGTTTAGAGGAACCTGCCGTTCTTTCTACATCTGTGTATGACCTGTGTAATTCATCACTGATGCTGAAACGTATTGACATACTTGATTTTGATTTAACCAAACGTGTAAGAACCTGGGTGCTGCTAGCATTAGAGAAGACAAACATCTCTGCAGAAATGCTGTAAACAGACCTTTCCAATTAGCCTGTTTTATGTTTGTTTTAGCTGAAGAAAAGGAGACACGGGACTTCAAAATCCCTCCAGATAAACCATTCCCGTCATCTTTGCCCATAGTTTCGGATGTGGAGGTTTGTGAGTGAAACACAACGCTTCATTTTTTATTGAATAATTTCTGAGATCCACACCTGATCAAACTGTGGGATCAGAGAGAAAAGCTCCCTTTCTCTCGTTCTTGGATGAAATCTTTCATCGTTCAGATGCCCTGCAGAGTGAAGGACCTTAACGTTGAGCTGAACAAATACAGCCATTTGTCTTCTTGATATTTCCAGGCTTCCAGGAACAGCGACCCAGTGCCCATGGATTCGATTAAAGTGACCTCAACGAGAATGCATTTCTTCGGGCTTCAAGTAGGTATTTACTGCAGCTGATGTTTTATTTAAACAGCCATGAATCACCAGATGGATTTGTGCCATGGATTTCACATATGATATTCGTGAAGTTTAAAGACATTTTAATTAGATTTTGATACCAAGAACGCGCTTATTTTCAAACAGGGGGAATGATGTTTTAGGTTTTGTGTGAAAATAAGTCCAGGACTACAAATGAGCTTCACGAAAGTGACGCCATTTCGTCGGCCTACATACCCTTAGCGGAAGTCCCCGTTGGATCAGGAATGTAGAGGTCCAGCTTGACCTTCTCTGGAACCGAAGCCGGTAGGAAAAGCAGCGGTTGCCGACCAGACCAGCCTTTAAGATACTTCCGGGTCACGACGGTTTTGTTGGCATCTAGTCAGACCCAAACCTGGGTCTTGATGGTTCAGCTTTTATTCTGAAAGGAACCGTTGCAGCAGATGGAACAGCAATGGATTTTATCCAGCTTGTCGTTGGTTCTTTTGGCTGAAGAGGAAAGTTGCGGATTGGCCACTCCGACAACTTCTCTAGAACGCTTTGAACTGGCGTTAGAGATGGTGTGGGCATAGTTTTATACTTCGGATATTTTGGTTTATGGTCGAATGAAAAGATCTGGCAGATTTTGATTGGATCAGTGAAAGCAATGTGTCATGTCTTAACGCTACGTGAGATCAGTCCTAGTGGAAACATTTAAAGTTATAATACTTATTATATTCTATAGGATTATAATAAAGTAATTCATATTTTGATTTCACAGATTGGTCACTAGGGATGGGTACCTTTGTCATTTGAATCGATTCGGTACTAATTCCCGGTACCTAGGAATCGATACCAGTATTAACGGTACCAATTTTCGATACTTTTGAGTGTTTAGTATTTTAATTCTCTTTTATAATTAAATATATATTTTTCTCAATATATAACAATATTTGATACATATCACGATAAATAACATACAACTGTTTGTATTTTAACATCGTCCTTGTAGTTTTATAAGCTGATAATTAAACTGAAGCAAACATCTTTACTGTGAACTAAATTTACTGTGTATCTTCATTCCTTTTGCCGTCCTTTTTCATTTGATTTTTCCTACTGGGAAGCTAGAATTTCCGAGGAGAAGGCGAACGCACCATTAGCTGATAACAATGGTGGCAATGGAAGCTAACATATCAAGCTAACGCCATCTTAAACAGTTTATTTAACTGCTGGAGCAGATTAAAATGATGATGCCTCACACTTAGATTGTTGTCGCTGGTTTCATCTTCACCCAATCACCCGTCGCATTTAGTAAAGTGAAGCCAAACTTTAGAGCGCGTTCATGTTCTTCTAGTCGGAAATTCGGAATTCCGAGGAGAAAGCAAACGCACCATTAGCGTAACGAAAGCTAACATATCAAGCTAACGTTACCTTAAACATTTTATTTACCTACCGGAGCAGATTAAGATGAGGATGTCTCACTTAGATCGTTGTCGCTGGTTTCATCATCACCCAGTTACCCATCGCATTTAGTAAAGTGAAGCCAAACTTTAGAGCGCGTTCATGTTCTTCTAGTCGGAAATTCGGAATTCCGAGGAGAAAGCAAACGCACCATTAGCATAACGAAAGCTAACATATCAAGCTAACGTTACCTTAAACATTTTATTTACCTACCGGAGCAGATTAAGATGAGGATGTCTCACTTAGATCGTTGTCGCTGGTTTCATCATCACCCAGTTACCCATCGCATTTAGTGAAGTGGACCCAGGCTTTAGCGTGCTTTCTTTCTACCATGCTGCTCTGTTTACAACTGGCTCTCAGCGACCAACGACATAACGCTCTTGCGCAAGTTCTCGTTATGAAGGACGGGTACCGAAACGAGGCACCGTTTGAAATGACATCTGTGAATCGGTGCTCAGTCAGTACTATGGAATTCAGTCGGTGCCTTAAAAAGTACCGAATTCGGTACCCATCCCTATAAAATGGTCTTCTTGATATTTCCAGGCTTCCAGGAACAGCGACCCAGTGCTGCATAACCCATACACCATGATCCTTTTTTTTTTCTTCCAGGTCCTTGTTTGTTTAAAGTAACTGGTCTTTATTAAACATTTATGCTGCTTTGTTTGATGAGCTTATTAAAATAGAGTTCTTTGATTTATTAAAAGGAGAGAGTCCTTTCTTTATTCTTCTCTTGAGCTGGAAAGAAGCAATTTTAAAACAAATGCATGAGACCTTGAGGCCATATCTCATGCAGGCTAGTTCTGTGTCAGAGGAGAGGGGGAAAATGACTTTTGGTGGAAAATAGTCATTTGATTCTGTTACATCGTCGAACCGGGCACGGAGAAAACTGAGGGAAAATGGCTTTTAAATTCAGCAAACTTTCCACAGAAGGAAAGAACCACCATAAATCTGGCCATGTGGTAAGTAGCAGCTACGTTAGGGGAGAGGAGATTATGTGGTGACGTCACATATGCGACATGGCGATTTCTGGTTTGTAGTCCTGCTAATTACAAACTTTTACAAGCGGATACGTCTCAAAGTACGTGACTGGCGTGGTCGAAACACCCATCAATACTTTTCATTTAAATTGCAGTACATTTGTGATCCAGGGCGTAAGGCAAAGCGGATTAGAAAATAGCATTTTTAGCCCGGTTGACTTGCATTAATTTTTTCCTTTTTCCGGGGACCCGTGAGCCGACCGGAAAGGGAGGAGACTTAGGCTCCCCCATTTGCTCACATCAAGTCCTTCACTGAGACAGACAGCCGTATGTTTCACACTCACTCTGGTTTGGTGTCATGTTTGGACAAGAGAGAAAACCCAACATGAAAAGAAATCCCTCAACTGGCCTTTAACCGCTCATGCAAAAAAAAAAACACCATCTTTACTTCCTCTTCTCATTTTTACTTCACTTACAAACATATCAGGGGTCCCCAGTTTTTATTTTTTAGGCGTTTCTAATTTTTCCTAGATACTTGGAAACAGAATCTTCTAAATAAAATAAAAATGTCAACATAAATGATTTCTGCCGTAATTGCTAACCTGTGAAACAGTTTACCATGCTAGCTAATAAAGTGTGTTGTAAGTTTAAGCACGCATATGTGATGTTAGTACCCTAAAATGTTTTCGTTTCTTTTTTATGAGATGGGTCACAGCATATATCTGAGCCAAGAGGAGGTTAGGACCCAAAGATGCAGAGATTCCAGATGACAACAGGGTGGAGAAATAACCTAAAATCCTTTATTAAAGAATAAATCCAAAAACGCAGGGTGCCAAAAACAAAAATCAAACAGTCCCAATAACAAAACCAAAATCTAGAGAGGGGAACGAGACAAGGTGACACAAACAATGACCCAACAACAAACTGAGACGCAGACGGGGTTAAATACACTGGGGCATGATGAGAGGAAGATAAGCTGCAGGTGCGTGGGGAGAGAAACCTAGTGAAAGCAATTAACTAATCAGGGAGAGGAAACTAACATGACCTAAGAGCAAAAACCTAAAGACAAGAAGAGCAAGCTAAATAAATAATATTCTAAGGGGGAAGGAAAACTACAAAAACCGGTGGGGAAAGAAACACACTAAAGAGACTAATCAAATGAAAAGCTGAACCTTATAGGAAAAACTGCAGAGAGGTGACTAGGGGAGACCAAAGGAGCACAGGACCTGGGAGGGATAATCTGGAGGGGCTGCAGACCAGGGGACACATGAGGAACACAAGGAGACACATGAGGGAGACGCAGACCATGACAAACACACTTGATTCAGTGGTTGAGTCACCTGTGCAGCAGCTCATCAGGCTCTGCAGAAGCCTGTTAATCACCGGCTGATTGAAATCAGGTGTGTTGAAGCAGGGTTCAAACTAAAACCTGCTGGATACCGGCTATCCAGGCCCAGAATTGAATACCCCTGCATTATGCTGTCCCAAGTCCACAGAAGGATGCATTAATGCATCCTTAATACAATGGGCGGAGCAAAAAGACATCCAATCTTGGAATTTTGAGTGTATTTGCCACTACACGTCCTTTGGATTGGAATGGTACTTGGGCCAGCATTGATGACATTACACAAGTTCAGAGAAGTACGCATAATGACAAATGGCCCCGGTTCCAAAACACATCACGGCATTTCCTTGGCTTCACATTTGAACAACCATAAATGGATTTCTTTTATCAATCTTTGTTCATTTTACATAAAACCTCTTAACTAAAACGCATCACTTTAAAGATATTGCAACAATTTAGGATGATTTTCTATTGTTCTGACTGTTGTTTAGGTCACACGGCACTATAAGCTCATGTCAATTATGCTTGATGACAAAAATGCTCCTCCAACTTCAACCTCCCTTTGCCCTGTGCCTCAGGTAAAAATCACCACTTGGACTGAAACATATAGCCTGGTGTACAATGATTGTAAAACAGCTTTCTTTTGGTTTTTAAATCATTCTAAGGAACTGTTGCAGGAGGAAGCCGGACCTCATAAAGTTCTGAAGCACACATCTGAGGAGGAAAAGGAACTTGAGGACATTTCTCGATTCTCCTTCCAACCTCCCGAAGCTCTTCTCGAACCTTTCCCTGCAAACCCTTTAAGGATCTTTGTAAAGCTGCCATCTTTTTATCAAATCTACCACTGAATGCTACATGCTAATGTGTATTTGTCACAGTGCCAGCGTGTCTTTGCCCTGATGTTCTACTTTAGAACCCAGCCCCGGGCCTTCGGACCTACGAACCAAAACCTAAAAATCTGGAGTTTGAGCCGGACTCTTGCGTCTGCCCTCCGCCCAGGTAGCACCGCTCCCATTTATCACTTTTGTTTTAGAAGTTGAACATGAAAGCATTCTTTCTTTTATCTCGGTGTAGATATTCAGTCCCTGAAAGCAAAGTTGGTGGCATAAGGACACAAACACCAGACACTCAGAAGTTTACTGATCACAAGGTAATTTCTTCTTTCAAGGTTTCTTTGAAATGCTTTTAGTCTTCCCATCAAAGTACTTGACCGTGGTTGTTTGTTAAGAGATTCAGCCGCATATTTCTCTGCAACACTACATTGTTTGGTGTTTGAAAAATATATAGTTTTTAGTTAATGTAGCCATGTCAATAGAAGTTATCTCCTATTTTGTCTCTGAAATGTTTAGATGCATCATTTCTTTTCCACAGACAGAACAGGAAGTGATTACAGGGGTCACAGAATGGAAGACTGATCTCGTCTCGGTACCTTCTTTGTCCGACCAGCTCACCTGTGACACCGCTCAACGCAGGTGGGTCAGGTTTTGTTTGCTTTGAGTGCTGTAATAGCCGAACGTCAACAGGACTACTTTAAAAGCCTGCTACCTTCCTGCAGACACAAATGAATCACGGTCGGCAGCTGGAGATGATCACAGCAATTCTGCTGCTTCCTGTTGGTCCTCTGGTTTAGTCCTGAGAAGAGCGACGGCAAATGTTAGGAAATAAGAGTACGATTCCCACATGTTGGTGCGCTTCTGTGATGAAAAATGTCACAATTCTCTACTTGGAAGACTTTTGTTTACATAAAAGAAAGTGGCTGTTTTCTTTCAGCTTGTAGAGGAATTCAAACTCGTGACCCTAGTTTGAAAGCTCATGATGAGGTTTGTACTGTTTGGTGTGAGCAGGACCCAAGCTTACAGCCAAGTACACAGCAGACATGTGAAAATACACAGGACTAGCTCAACACTGAGAATCAGAGTCCAAGGACTATTTATAGTACTGTGAAAAAGTATTTTCTTCCTTCTGTTTCTGATCTGCAAACAGAGTATCATATCAGACAAAGATAACCCGAGTAAATACAAGTTGCAGTTTGAAGCGATGCTAAACAATTTCCAGCTTCTACTATGGCGTCAGATCACTTTTTTTAATGAGACGGCGCAATTCATAACAAAACAGGCGTAAAAACGGGTTGGGGAGAGAGTAAAACTGTTATCATGGATGAAATGTTTTAGTAAAGCCTGGTTTATGCTTCTCCGTCAGCTCCGGACACGCATGGGACAGACACGCATGGATTGACGGAAGCGTTTTGCTCTTTTACTTCTCCGTCTTCTGGAGAGTGTTGCAAAGCAATTCCCCGGCAGGACAGCAGAGGGCGTAGCGCTGTTCTGTGGTATCCTGTCATGTATCGGTCCAAGATGGTGTTTTTATATTATGTTTTTTGTGTATATAAGAGACTTTTTAACACGGACAAATTTATCTCTCATTCTCCCGCCGCTTCATGCGCTCCCCACCTCTAAACCCACGTTTCCTGTCATTTCCGTCCACAAATAAAACGCTTGCTGCGCATCTTTTCACTCCTCCAGTCACGGGAGAATTAAACGTTCATATTTTTAGAGTTTTTTGCGAGGTATTCTTCAAGTTTCTCCGTGTCTGCCGCTTGTTATCCTCGGCTCTCTTTGCAATGGCGGCGCTGTAAACAACAGTGGCGTCCTGACCAATCACAAGCTTGCGTTGTCCGTCTCGACTGACAGATGTTTAGAAAAGAGAGCTCGACTCCGTCCGTCCTTGCGGAGCTCTCCGGCAGGTCCGCAAGGACGGATAATGGCGTTGCGTGTCTCCGCACTGACGCAGACGGAGAAGCATGAATCAGGCTTAACAGGACACATAAAGTTACACTTTTGTCTCACCTTTCCAAAATGTATTCTCACGTTAGCCCAACACTCGCTCGGTTTTTTTATTCCTACGTTTACTTGTTCAACATACACTCTCGCTTCTGAACGCTGCGCTCTCTCGCTTCGACGTTTACCAGGAAGTGACGTCAATTCTCCAGACTCGACCAGACGATCAACCGATCTGTCTTCGATTTGCACCCTGCACCAACGCTGCGTTACACCCAATTACTGTAAGAACGGGTGACACCGTTGTGATGGATGTCTGAAACACTTCAGTTTTTCAAGATAAGGTAAATTTTAAAAATATTGTTCTTTTATGAATTTAAAATAAATAACTTAAGTATAAATTGTTTATTTAAAATTGATTTGATACTTGTACTCTGACTCCAGAGGAATGTATTCTAGCATGCTTGTAAATTTAACAAAATATAACGAAGGATAATAATGTTGAATTAAATAAAAATAGGCTAAATATTAGCAGATAAATCATGACCTTTGTGAATTAAAAAAAGATAATTCAAAAGCTAATAAACTATTCTCAATAAGAACAGTTAAGTTAAAACAAATTTTTATATTCTTATAGTGTATAGTTTATAATGAAAATAGTGGTTAAAAAATCTCTATCATGATAAAAATTGCCTTCATTTGAACTGTGTAATAATATATAGCATATATGTGGAATTTCTAGCTTAGAAAATACATTACAGAAAGAATTATGATAAATTTGGGTGATAATTTTTTGTTTTAAACAGTGTAAAGAAAAAGTTACATATATATAATAAATACGTTGTTTTATAATTAACTGTTTACTAACTAATCTGTTGCATGTTCCGCCTGCTGCAACGGTTCCTTCAGAATAAAAGCTGAACCATCACGACCCCTTTGAGGGTCCTGCTAGATGCCAACAAAACTGTTGTGACCTGGAAGTATCTCAAGACTGGTCTGGTCGGCAACCGCTGCTTTTCTACTGGCTTCGGTTCCAGAGAAGGTCAAGCTGGACCTCAGCGTTCCTGATCTAACGGGGACTTCCACCAAGGGTACGTAGACCAACAGAATGGCGTCTCAATGTGTGTTATAATCTCCAAACCAAAGCTTAGAGCGAAACACCATCTTCACTCCCATCAGAGCTAATCGTTTCTCCGGATTTGCTGGTTCTGAACATTTCACACATACACCATCCTCAGTCTTACTCCACCTTAGTTACATCATGCACATAGATTTTAAAGTTAGTCTTGTTTAATTTGTTTAGTAATAAATCTTTTAACTTTTTAAACCTGACTCTCTCTCTTTCTTGGAGTTGATACGAAGTGTTGCTCAATCCCTGCAATAAAAAGATCCGATCTTCTGGTTAAATTTACAATAAGATCCATCAAAGTGATATTTCATACTTTGTGATATTTCACATTTTATGGTTTCTAATTAAATGTAAGAACATCTTCGCTACAATTACATGGTATCTTTGTATACAGTCAAACAGCTGTAAGATATAATATACTACTACTGACAAACTTTTAGGATTCTTTAAAGCAACTTTTGATGGCTTTCTGTTTTTATTGTCTCATTATTTTCTAACATGTTTTGGGTGTTATTTGCAAATGTTCATTTTTAGTGAAGAGAATTCGATTAGCTCTCTTTTTTCTATTATATGGTCCTGTTGAAACGTTCAAATGTAACAATATCAAAAGAACTGCATTTTACTTTTTCTCAAATGAAAACTGAATAAACACAACCTTGTCAGTGACACACACACCCCCAGGAAATAATTCTAAATGTAAATAGCATAGAAAACAAGTGTGAATGGAACAATCACTGTTTGCTCACCAAATTAAAACCTGCCAAAGGTATTTCCAAAACGTAGAGCCATAGTCATTACTTTTTAAAATTCACTGTATGTCATTTCCTCAAACTCAACAGCAATAAAACTGAACTTCTAGTTGGCACTAAATCCACCATCTCAAAATCTGACAGCTTTTCTTTAACTACTGACAGCGCCATAGTCTCCCCCTCCCCTCACGTCAAGGGTCTGGGTGTCATCCTCGACAGCTCACTTTCTTTTCAAGCTCACATTAATAACATAATTTGGTCAGCATACTTCCATCTACGTTCCACAAACCGCCTTCGCCCCTCCCTTACCCCTCACACTGCCGCCATTCTCGTCCACAGCCTCGTCACCTCCCGTATCGACTATTGCAATTCACTTCTTTATGGTCTCCCCAACAAACTCCTTCATAAACTGCAACTGGTCCAGAATTCAGCAGCCCATATTATCACCAGAACCCCTTCCTTTCACCACATCACCCCGGTTCTCCAACAGCTTCACTGGCTCCCAGTTAAATTCAGGTCCATCTTCAAAATTCTCCTCCATACCTTCAAAGCAATCCACAACCTCTCTCCTCCATATATCTCAGACCTTATAAGTTTTCACACCCCATCCCGTTCTCTCAGATCTTCTTCTTCCATCCATCTTGCAGTTCCTTCTGCCCGTCTCGCTACCATGGGGAGCAGAACTTTCAGCCGCTCTGCTCCTCGTCTCTGGAACTCACTTCCCCCAGACATCAGGAACATCGACAGTTTTACCCTTTTCAAAACTAAACTCAAAACACATATGTTTAAATCTGCCTACAACCTCTGATTTTATTGAACTGTTTCTCTCTTTGTTTGTTTTTTCTTGTTTGGGTTTTATTATTGTTTTATTGTATTTTATTAAGTGTTTTCTGTCAAGTGACCTTGGGTGTTCTGAAAGGCGCTTTTAAATAAAATGTATTATTATTATTGTTATTATGTGTGTCACTGGAAAAGTTACAGCCTTAGCGCATGCACTTATGGGCCATTCCCATCTGTACCTGGTCGGTCCTGCCCGGATAGCGCCAGTAGGCCCCAGCCTGGCCAGGTTGATACCACACATCCTTGCTTAAGTATGCAAGGAATGCAGTCAGAGACATTTTCAGCTTCTAGGTAATCAGCATGATAATGAATGATAATGAATTGAGCATGCCTTAAGCCAGGGGTCAGCAACCTGTTCCCATCAAAGAGCCATTATTACCCGTTTCCCACAGTAAAGAAAACACTGGGAGCCACAGCAGCCGCGGCGTTGTGGGCGGGGCCTACCCTCAGACAGCAGAGAGCTGCTTTAACCAATCACAACAGGTGACAGCAGCCAATACCGGTCGCTCGTGTACGTCAAAGTTATATTTCATAAGACGATAATCAATAAAACGATTTATATAAAGTGGATCCAGAAGTTGTAGCCCGTCTCTGCCTACAATATTTTGATATTTTTCACCCTGTTGATGGTTTTACTGAGCAGGTGCCACTTTTGTCAAACGTTTCTTTTTAAAACATGTTTAGACTGTTCAGAATACAAATCCAGGCTCTGTCACGTTTGATTGTTGTAATTAAACTTTGTAGGTGGGGAAGGTCAGAAAAGGATCCGATCATTTTGTTTTTCCCTCATTTACAGTGACGGAGATAACGGCGCAGTGCGCCTGGCTCTGGTGTTAATCAAGTTTTAGTCTCTGTGCAACAATTTTCACAAGAAAACAGAACAGTTAAAAGCAGGGCTTGTGTTGTGTTGACCGGACAGTTCCCGTATTTGATTGTTTATTTTGACGGAGAAAAAATAGAAAGAATTACCCCGACGC